GCGAGAGAGGTGAGACTGACTGGCTGGTAGTCCCCCGGGTCTTCCTTTTTTCTCTTTTTAAAAATAGGGGTTATGTTTCCCCTTTTCCAGTCAGTGGGAGCTTCACCGGCCTGACATGATTTCTCCAATATGATGAACAGTGGCTTAGCCACTTAATCCGCCAGTTCCCTCACGGTGTGCGGACGCATCTCATCAGGTCCCATGGACTTGTGCACCTTCAGGTTCCTTAGATGGTCTTGAACCCAATCTCCTCCTGGAGTGGGTGGTTCTTCATTCTCCCAGTCCCTGCCTTTGCCTTCTGCGACTTGGGTGGTGTGACTGGAGCACTGGCTGGTGAAGACTGAGGCCAAAAAGTCAGAGTACCTCAGCCTTCTCCAAATCCCAGGTAACCAGTTGTCCTGTTTCCTTCTGGAGAGGGCCCTCATTTTCCCTAGTGTTGCTTTTATCACTGATGTAGCTATAGAAGCTTTTCTTGTTGCCCTTGAAGTCTCTGGCCAGATTTATTTATATCGGGGCTTTAGCTTTCCTAACTTGATCCCTGGCTGCTCCATCAATCTGTCTGTATTCCTCCCAGGCTACCTGTCCTTGCTTCCACCCTCTGTAGGCTTCCTTATTGTGTTTGAGTTTGAGCAGGAGCTCCTTGTTCATCCATGCAGGCCTCCTGGTGTTTTTGCCCAGCTTCTTCTTTGTTGGGATGTATTGCTCCTGAGCTTGGAGGAGATGATCCTTGAATATTAACCAGCTTTCTTGGGCCCCTCTTCCCTCCAGTGCTTTATCCCATGGTACTCTGCCAAGCAGCTCCCTGAAGAGACCAAAGTCTGCTCTCCTAAAGTCCGGGGTAGTGAACTTGTTGTGTACCCTCCTCGTTGCCCTAAGGGTCTTGAACTTTACCATTTCATGGTCACTGCAGCCAAGGCTGCCCTTGAGCTTCACATTCCCCACCAGCCCCTCCTTGTTGGTGAGAACAAGGCCCAGCATAGCACCTCTGTCACTTGGAGATGCTCCATCAATGCATTCCAGGAACCTCCTGGATTGTTTATGGTCTGTTGTGCTGTCCCTCCAACAGATACTGGGATGGTTGAAGTCCCTCATGAGGACTAGGGCTTGTGAACATGAGGCTGCTCGTATCTGTCTACAGAGGGCCTCAATGAAACTTCACAGTTTTCTGCCTAATGAATGGTTTGCTTGGCTTACATAGTACTATAGTAAACACAGGATTTTCTTTTCTAGGCGGCATTCAATTGCCCATATCTGTGAGACCATCCAAAACCAGAAAGCATGTTAAAATTAGAAATATGTGTTAGAATGTCATAAATTCAATTGTACGAATTTCTTTAAGGGGAATTCTTATGCCTAAGGTTGTTTATCCACCTTAATTGTACTTTCCCATACCTCAACTTTGCTGACCATTATGAGGTCAATAGATGTGCATAAGGAGATTCGCTCTGATTATAACATACTGAAAAGCAGCAGTTAAATTTTAGTGTGTTAACTGTTATTTTCGTTGTTCTTCCTCCTCTGAGAGTATTTATAGTCTTTTATGTGCCCAATCCTACTCCTTTTCTTGACAATAGAGCGGGCCTTGTCTTCTAAAGAAACCTTTCTTTTAGTATGTATGGTTCTTTCTAAGCTTCTAGTATCACCTGTGAGAGTTTCATAGGAATTCTTTCCTCCTAGAACAATTTACATCAGCTTTGTATCTATCACTGTCTTACCACAGAATGCCACTTAATGGGGCTTCCATACTTCCAGCAGAGTGAAATGCTTGTAGTATTATGTTGTATGCTTCATGGACAAACAGAAAGCTGACTTGCTGGGCTCTAGCAAAGATTCTTACTACCCTCTTCACCTAAAGAGCATTAAAAAAACCCAAACAGCAAGCTTATTCTCAGGAAAGCTCCCTAATGAAGGGGGCTGCTTGAAGTTACAAGGTGCTACCCTGAGTGCCCTTCTACAAGGGAGGCTGTTGCTGTGGGTCCTGAGTGACGACTTACTGAAAGCAAGCATGTTTATTTCAGTTAGATGCTGATTACATAGATACCTATGCAACTAGCTGTATTTTCCCTGTCTTTCCAGTAGTTGGCAATGAATTTTTCACACGCTTATTCCATGAACATTTTAAATTGGTATTGATGCTCTGGCTGCTTGTTCACCCCATGAAGCACACAAAAGAACTTCTGTGGCTCAGCAGTGCAGCATATTAGGAAATTAATCTGTGTAAAGATTAATAGGGTTTTCTCATCCCTCCTGTTTTGCTGGGTCAGTTATAACATGTATAATTTTCCTGTCCAATTCGCCACACCACTACTTTTGATGGTACAAGTGTAGGACAGACACAAGAAGCAACTAATAGTAAAGAGGAAGGCAGGATTGCTTCTTTTGATGGTAGTGCTGGCTTACAGAAGGTTAAATTGTTCACAGAACTGCAGTGTCTGAAAGTCAATTTTGTATGCCGGAAAAATGGGTACTTCCGTTTTCCTTATTGACATATCCTCTTAAAAGCACTCTTCAGTATTATAACTCCTCTACTACTTAATTTCACAGGTGCACTCCCAGTGTACTGAAGCCATTTGCCTTCCTCTCCCTTTTTTGCTATGGAGGATCTTCTTTTGCATTGTTGTGCTTCTTGCTTACTTTGTAGCTGGATAAATTAATGCTTGTTTTATATACATCTGAATGTTCTTAGTTGCAGTTTCAGAAATTAGATGCTGTAACATCTGAGGAAAATACCTTTCTTGTTTTAGTTTGTATTTCTCTGGTTTAAGTCATATCTAGGAAGATCATCTTAAGAGAAAGCATAAAAGGTACAAGAATGTATTTTGTTTTCATCAGTTTTCAGATTATGCCTGTTGTACTTCTCTGATTTATGAACTAGGTAACTGAGTGCTTGCAAATATAATATATGTATTTGCTATTGGCAGTGTAGGGTGTAATTCCGTAGTGCGTTGTTGGGGTTTTTTTGTTGTGGTTTGGTTTTTTTTTTTTTTTTGAGCAAAGGAGCCAGAGTGTGTGGTTGGTTCCCCCCACTACCTTCCTGTGTGTGTTATAGCTTACCGCTCTTTCAGTTACATCAGCACAACTGTTTCTTTTTGAAGTTGTGCAAACCAGATAATGAAATGTTTCCAACTGAACTACGCAAACATATTTACCTCTTATTACTCAGTTGTAGGGTCCAACAGTAATCCACATTATAAACAGTTCCATTGTTACAGCTAAGGGCTGAATATACTACAGCACAGAAATGGGAAGACATTTTGAAGAGGTAGGGATGGCTGAAACTGTTGGGGGTTTTTTGGGTTTGTTTGTTTTAAAAAATAGTTTTGCCACTTGAGGAAAAGTAACATAAAAGTATACTGTACTGTAATTTTTAGAAATTGCTTGTTTTATCATACAAGAAATTGATGAATCTTATAATTCTACTATGAGGTGTTGAATACTCTATTTACTTACACAGACACTTAGCCAGAACATCACTTATTTAAATATCTTGCAAAGTTAGGTGAAACTTTCCATCTGATTTAATTTAGACAGTCTTTCAACTTTTGAAATAAATTAAAGCCATTTATACTGCTAAACACTTTAAAATGTTATTTAGTAGAACAGTGAGTAATTGATCCTTAGCTAAAAGGACATAATTCAAGTCCTGACCCTATGCAGCAAATGTTAAAGGATTTACAACAAGGTGAGCCTCCACATTTATGGGAGACAAATAACACTTTTGGGACCTCTTTAATTTAAATCATGTGTGGGAGAACATTTGTTGATGGCATAATCTTCTAGTTTTGGGTGTTTATAGTCTAGCTTGTTTGAAAAATCTGATACTTTTTCCTTGTTTCTTTTTGAATTTCAGGTCCCAGCCAAGTATGCCATCATCTTTATTGCTGTGCAGTACAATGTCACCTATACCACTGGTGAGATTAAATCAAATCTTTTTTTTTTTTTTTTTTGTAATGCAAGAACTCAACTGTTAAAAATCACTTTTTTTTTCCCCCTCAAGACTTCAATTCATTTCACTTTTATACTATAGTAGAACTCTCATATTTGTCTGTCTGCGTTTGAATTTACTAATACTTTATTCAGTCAAACATTCTAGTGTTTTCTCTGTTGCTTGTGAATAACACTGGGTTATTTTTTCCCATAGTTAACACTGCTACTAACTTGCATTTTAATGTGAAAAGCACACATTCTTTCCAGTTTTTGATGCAATCAACAGGAGTTATTGAGTAACAGAATATTTTGGTAATCTTCTATATATCTGTTGCTTATTCATGATTTCTTATGTCATTAGTAGTGGATTTGTGGCTTATATTTCAAAAATATCACATTATTATTCTCAAGAAACTGATGTTGCTGATTCAATCATGGTTTTAAATAACAAAGGGAGAAAGTACTGAATCTTTTTTTCCCCCCAAATACTTCCTTTTTTAAAAACTTTTGTACCTGCTGTACTATATACAAGTGGTAAGAAGCTAATGGCATTTCGTTATTTGATAACTTAATTTTTCTTAATAGTATTGATAACTTTCAATTCTTTCCAGAAATTAATCTGCACAATGTCTTGGAGAAAATACGTACTGTGGCAGAATTGTTCCAGATGGGGAACTAAGGTCCAGAGAAATTAGAAAAATCTATGACTTTTGTTCTAATCTTGAGACCTCTGTGCTGCAACTGTTCCAAATAATGTAGCACTCCCACTGCATTTAATATGTTCAAAACAATGCATTGATCAACTTTACTTGCAGTGAGGAATATATATAATTTTTTGCAAATGTTTCCTGATATGTTTAACATTGAACACTTGAGGTATACACAGTCAGTGGACTTTTTCTTTTACTGGTATTTGAACAGCATCAAGTAGAAATCTCCTATAGCAGAGACAAAAGTAAAATTCACGTGTCAGTTACCAAGATACCCGTGATGTGACTTCATAGTGTTTGGTGCATGCAGGTGTGTGTATGTCTGTGTGTGTATATATATACACACATGTCTATAAATATATATGTATATACACATACAATATGTATATATATGTATGTGTATATATACATACAATTGAATGAACAAGGTATAGCTTCCTTTAGTTTTAATAGGAGGTGTGGATGAATTCTGCACAAGCCATTTTGAGGTCTCAGCTCTGTCCCTCTGAAAACAATGAATATATTACTAGTGAAGGTCTATTTTGAAAAACAGTGCAGGGACCAGGCAGAAATAGCATTTGCTATGCAATTACTTGTTCATTGATTATATCACCAGCTGCTTTCAAACGCAGAAACAGGACGTCTGATATTTAGAGTTATATGGATGTCCTGTGCATTAGGACCTTGATGTACCACTCATGTTACGGGAAGCAGTAATTGCTTCCTTGACACCTTCTAGCCTAATTTCCTTTAGGAAAAAAAAAAAAAAAAAAGTTGTTTGATGCCTGTATTTCTGCTATTTTGCATTTGGACAGCACAGAGTTTGACAAAGGGTAGAAGTCTTAAAGATGACAAAATTCCTTGATGTTTCTGAAAAGTGGTGGCTGTATAGACAAAAGGCATCCAAATTAACGCCCTCTCTTAAGTGAAAGCAGAAGAATGTAAATGTTAGACATGCTAGCCTGTAAATCACAATGAGTGTGGCGCTTGATTAGTGCTAGTACAAGTTCATTCTTTTCCATTGCAGTGTCTCAGATGCATAAAGAAAAGTGAGGTGGTTGTAATGGGTGTTTGTGGGCCAAAGGAGAGACATCCCTACAAAATAAGATTTCCTTAGGTCTACTGCTCCTGATACATGCTTTTTAAATGGAATTTCATTTGTAAGTTCTCCTACACTTTAACATGGTAAATACAAACATTTGAAGTATTTTTGTAACAATGTGAATGTTCTTTTTAGATTTTTGGCAATTTTGCTTTTGATTTATAGGCACATATTACTAATTCTGGCGAAGTTGTTACTTACCAATGTGTTGAACTACCAGTGATACTATCCTCACTATATAGTTTCTTTTTTCCTATGTGTAGTCACGCTTCTTAAGATGGAGTCTCATCTGGTCTCTACCAAAGTATAGAGGATAGGGTGTTCGTGTGGGGGTTTTTTAGTTTTTTTCTCTTTTTTTTTTTCTTTCTTTTTTTTTTTCCTTTTTTGATGGCTTAGATGAAAGAAATGGATTGTAGCTACAGCTCAGTGTATACTGCTCTCCATAGTATGTTCTAGGCTTAGAACTATATCATTATATTGAAGGAAAAGAACTTCTAAGTTATCTAATTGGGCATTAAAAGTAATTTTCAAAAATATAAAACTTATAACTAGTATCCTGTATCAATTTAACGTAACTTCCAAGAACAGTGGTCACTGCTGCCCTTTTTCACTTGCAGAATGCACGTTCACAAGAATGTAAAAATATGCGCTTTTTTTTTTTTTAGATGACAACAGTGAGCAATTTAATTTTTATGACTATGGTCCAAAAGACATTGCCACAATCTTCTTCTACATGCTCGTAGCTATTAATCTGCATGCTGTAATCCAGGAGTACGTATTAGATGTAAGTTTACTACTGGGATATAATTTACTTCTAAATCATGTTATTTTTAGCCATCAGTTGCTAAGAGTTTTTCTTCAAGTTAAGTGTAAGCCATAGTGCAAGGAATGGTTTATAATTTCGAAGTCCTGTTATGACTGATCCTTTTGTTCTTTGACAAAAATTTGAATAGACCTTGGTTTAGTGGTAGTGTTAGGTTAATGGGTAGACTTGATGATCTTTGAGGTCTCTTCCAACCATAATGATTCTGTGATATTTTTTTATAGTGATACTTCCTCAATTTATTAATGTTATAAACCACTGAATCTTTCAATCAATATAACTTACATTTTCCTGTAAAAACAGACATTGAATGTTCATGCCCTACTCAAAATATCTGTGAATGAGGTCTGCTGCATTAGATTCAGAAGATCAAAAAGGAAAATTACTGCAGTGGTGGATTTCTGTTTCTCGGCTGAGCTTTGCCTTAAAGAGGGAGCTCAAACTTCACTGTGTGCTCTTTTACACGAACTCAGTTGCAAAGTAAAATGCATTTGTTAAAGCCATTGTGAAGACCATCTATTATTGAACGGTCTCAGAATGTCTTCACAAATAGGCCATCTGAGCCACAGAAGCTCAAGTGGTTTTCAAGTGTGCAAAGAGATGTGAAAAATTTAGCAATGTGACTGTGATTATGGGGGTGGGGTGTGTGTGTGTGTGGAAATTGTCTGAATACATTACCTGAATATTTTCCATGTGAACTTTACCATAGTGGCAAGTCTTATTGAAGCTAATTGTCATGCAAAGTGCTAATCAAGGTCTTAAATGGTGGGAGCTATGTATTTTGATTGAGGAATGGGAGGTTTGGGGAGAAGAAAAAACATTCAGGAGTGAACACTAACTCCCAAATAGCTTCCTTGTTTTAGAAATTACATTTATTGATCTGCTTTTTGTTTCTAGAAAATTAATAGACGTCTGCATTTGTCAAAAACAAAGCACAGCAAATTCAATGAATCTGGACAGCTAGCATTTTTCTACTCATTTTCATTTATATGGGGAGCAAGTATTTTGAATGCAGTAAGTAAGTCACTCTATTTGCTGTTTTTATTTAAAAAACAGACTTAAAGTATTAAGAGGGTCCTTAAATCAATGGCCTTTTTCTTTAGGAAGAATTCATGATGAACCCAGCCTCGCTCTGGAAAGATTATCCCCATTCTCGTATGCTGTAAGTGTTCTGTTTTCAATTTGAAAAAAATCTAGTACTTCTAATCACTGAATATTTAACTACCCCAAATTTTGGGGAACCACTAATAAGGTAATGACATTGATACCTTATAAGAATGACAACTAGATGAAAATACTTTCTTCTGTCTGAAAACTGCCAGCCGTTTTATCCAAACGTAGTTTTTGATGAATTGAACATCTATCCAAGAGATATGTACGTGTGTTCTTACCTTTCTTTAATTTAACCATGGTAGCTGAGTTAAAGTGAAAGTCTTTGCAAGATGGGATACATGATAGAACTGCTGAACTGTTTCATGCTAAAGAAACATATTTGTCAGAGACAGAATTTTCAAATTAGGGGATTTATAGTGTGATTTTTTTTTTTTTTTTTCTTTTTCTTTCTTTTTTTTAAATTAAGATGACTTACAAAACAGTGGTGTTTGTCTGGGCCACCCCCACACCCATTTTTCTCCAGCAAGTGTGATAGAGGGAAGGGAGATAATACACATTTTTTAGGAAGGGAGTTCAGCTGCTCACAGGTAAACTGTTTCTGTGGTTTAGGTTTTTTGGTGTTCTTTCTTTCCTACTGTCTCAAAAGGTGATTCAGAACTTGCTATCAAGAAGATTATGGATGCTAATTCAAAAAACTGTCACCACAGACTTGTTTTGTATTTGTGGTTCCTGTGATTTAGGAATCATAAACTTTAATGAGTCAGAATGAATTAATTTAAGATAATGAAATAAAATCTTGTATCTCATGTTGAAAGCTTGAAAACGCATAATGATGTGTTTTCTTAACCTGAATTATTGTTTAGTTTTCAGGTAAAATTCTTCTATATTTGCCAGATAGCCTATTGGCTTCATGCACTGCCGGAGCTATACTTCCAAAAGATCCGAAAGGTATGGAGAGAGGTTGTCAAGACAGTTAATTATATATCTATTCTTTCCAATTACTCATATTAATACTTTTGTTTATATTAACTATATAAATATATACATTTTCATATTTGTATATTCAGTTATTTATATATTATTCATATTTTTTAATTGCTTGCATTTCCTATATAATTTAGTCTAGGTGGTCTGTAGTTTTTGATTCAGATAGTCTTTCCAGAAATTTGTACAGTAGTGTGGAAAAATAATCAAACCTAATGAATGATAAGATTTTTCTTTGGAAAATATAGTTAAACTTTAACAGCATTTATTATAATTTCTCTAATTTTAGGAAGATATTCCAAGGCAGCTATGTTATATATGCCTTTACATTGCTCATATCTCTGGTGCCTATATATTAAAGTAAGTATTTGCATGTCCATTTTGAATAGATAGAATCTCCTTTTTTTATAATTTCATTAAAATTTCTAGCTTTTCTGTTTTATAGTTTGCAGCATTTGGGGCTAATTCTGATGATACCTCACTATTTAGTGGAACTAATTTTTCATGCCTCGCGTCTTTTCTACTTCAGTGATGAAAACAAGCAGAAAGGGTAAATCTTGCATGTATTCATTAAAATTCAGAACTTTGCTTATTAATTGCATGTAAATAGATTTGCATATATGTAAAAGTACTCGGGTAGCAAACATTGATTGTTCAATGTCCACTATTACCTGCTTTGAATTCACAAGCAAGTCATTGTCATTACATAGAGTCAAAGCAGCAAATACACCACTTCATGATCATCACCATAAGGTTTTGCTGAAACCTTTGCTGAAGTCCCATGTCAGATATCTGTGTATTGGCTTCTGATTCTGTAAGTTGCCTGTTTGCTTAAATGTTCATAAATGTTTGTATGTAGGGACACTTGTTTTTAAAAACAATTAATTGAAGAAGTAATAAAAGCAGCATTCCCTGTAAGGTTTTGCAGGTCTCTCTCCTTTTGGTAAGATGAGAAAGGGAAGTAACTATATAACAGAGAAGGTAATGTCTCAAAATGTGTAGTTGATAAGATGTTTTCAATTATACATCTCTTGATTAAGTTTCTCAACTATTTTGAGAATTAATGTGTATAAAAGTAATGCTGAGAATGGAACGAGGTGAAGAACTGAGATATTTAACTGTGAGGCATGCTAGGAAGGTTTGGATATGTTTCACCATTTGAATGCAAGGACTTTTGGAGGTTCCAGTTGGAATAAAGCAGCCTTGTCCCATTTATGTGTTCTTGTCTCTTATTCTTTCTTCCTTTTCTGAGTGATTGCCCAGCTGGAAGAGATTATCATGAACGTCTTGCTTCTTTTCATGCAATTCCTTACATACAGGCAGCCTACATTAAGGCAGTGTAATGCTGCTGCTCTTTCTGGTCTTTTTACAAGATTCATTTGTGTTGTTCCTTAAAGCTAACATTTTAAATAGGTATGCTGAATGTTATTTGCAAAAAATCAATGTTCACTGATGCAAATAAGGAAAGTGGAAGAAAGTTAGCTTATCTTTCATTTGTATGTCATATTTAATTGTGAGGTTTTTTTGAGCTATAAGCTTATCTGCTTTTCATTATATACCATCCAAAAGCATGAAAGCTAAATATAACGATTAGGAGAAAACATTTTCCCGTCTTATGAAGACTCTAATGGTCAGATAAGCAACTATGTCTGTCTTTGGCTGGAAATCAGTTATCCCATGTGCAATATTACAACAGTTTAAATAACTGGAAATAGAAATTGGTTTTCATAGCTGATGAACTGCAGAAGTATTTGGGGCATTTTATTTCTATTGCAACACATAGCACTTATAATGTAAACTGTACAAACAGCAGAATGTCAAATATGAGATTTTCCCTAGCTTAGAATTTATTCTTTCTTCTTATAGTTCTACATCCAGACACTGTAGCTTTTCTCAAAATCTTTTTTTGGAGAAGGGTGTGAAGAGAGTTGTTTTTTAAGCAGTCTTTCTTATACTGTGAGAGATTTGAAGTATGTTTTAAGTTTGAAATCTGTTGAACAAGCTGATTTATTTTTTCTTTTTTTTTTTTTGCAGAAATTTTGGAAAGGTACTTTTTTCACATTGGTAGTGTGTTTTTTAATCCATCAGTCACACGATATGAAGTCTTTTTCCTATAGAAATCTTTATGTAATGGCAGTAATAATACCAATTTTCTAAATTAATTATTGTCAGTTTAATAAAACTGTTCTTCAGGGTTTTTTCCATGTCCTATAGCAAAAACTTCTAGATGCTGAAAATCTGCAGGATAACATCTTTCTCTATTAGCTATGAAGTGAAATAACTGTCATTTGTTACTTATTAGCTAACTGATTACCTTCTCTCCTTGTTCTATGAAAATCTGGCTGTTAAAAATTACATATATATTCTTGATCTTCCAACAGTTTAATAAATATATATTAGACCTTTAGCATCAACTTTCTGGCTCATAGCATCACCATTACTTATAAATGGCTTACAGCACGAATGACAATTTAAGATGCATCTTTTTACTTCATTGTGTTTTCTAGTCAAAAGCTTGTGTAATGAGGCGGGGCTGAATGTTTGCAGATGACCAAGTGTTTCTGTAATTATTGGTCCCCTCTGTGGACACCTCCCTATCATTGCTCAGAAAATTTTAATGAAAAGTTCTTTGTATGTTTAACTTTATTGAAAAGAAATGGACTAAAAGGACAAAGCACATTAATTTCATTATTTTGTTTTCAGATTTACCATTTGGGCTTTACTTTTTGTAATGGTGCGTCTTTTGACTCTAACTTTATCTGTCCTCACATTTGGATTTGGTCTGGCAAGAGTAGAGAATCCAGGTTTTTCCATAGCAGACGGAAACTTCAATGTTCTCCCTGTGAGGTATAACAAGGCTAGTAGACATTCATGCTTGCATAATGTGGCATTTCAAAATATCTTTTAATAAAACTATGCAGGATGATAATGTGTTTTGAAGAAATTCATCGGGTGATGTTTTTCTCTTGGGTATTTAAGGGTAGGGAAATTGTGTTCTCTTTTCTATCTTCTTTTCACAAAAGTAGCAGAACAGAATTTATGGGAAATAGAAAAAAAGAAAGAAAAAAGAAAGTTTTTTTTAAAAAATTAATTGTTGGTAATTATCCAAAAAGCCTGGGATAATCATCTCTTTAAACTCCCCCCGCCCCATGTCTATACTAGACATAGTATCATTTGGTGATATTAATACTCATAAGTTTTTAACTAATTATTTGTTTGGTGCCTTCCTAAAATATTTTAAAATATCTTTTATTCTTGCTTGTTAATTTTAAAATTTTATTACTTTTTCAGCATAAGCTCATCACTTCAACATTCAGCTTTATAACTTAATGCCTGTAATCAAGTACATGGGAGGGATTTTGAATCTACGTAATTTCTCATTCATAGATTGCTTGGCAGAAGGGGCCTCAATGACACAATTTCCTATCAGCCATTGAAAGCTATGGTCATAACTCCTTGATAAACCTGATTGCTTCTAGCAATATACTTATATACGATTTTGATTCGCTTCTTGTGTGACACATCTTGTCTTGGGTAAAGGCTTCTGATACATCTGGTTTCCCATGGTATGAAGATTTTAATTGTTTTGATAGTAGACTTTTGGAGAAAAAAATATAATAGATATAGTTTTACAGCCTTCTAATGGTTAACTGAAATTTCTATCTAACTGTCTCCAAAATCTCAAATCTTATTAGGATTGGCTGCCTGGGTGCTGTTTGTCTAACACAAGCCTGGATGATGTGGAAATTTATAAATTTTCAGCTGAAGAAATGGAGAGAGCATGTTAAGAACCAGATTCCAAAGAAAAAAGTAACTAACACAAAGAACAAACGAACAAAAAAGGAACCAAACAGAGGTCAGTAGCATAATATTTTTTTAAAGTTGTTTCTAGGCCAAATATTTTTATACCAGGTGTATCACCTTATATCTTTCCTTTCTGTAAAAGAACAAAAACATCTGTCTTTGACATGCAGAGAATATAGATAATATTATAGCTTCTTCAAATGTTAGTGCATATTCTTCTCTAATTCCATATTGCTAACAGGACAGCACACAGAGTGCTAACTGTATTAAGTGTTAGCCCTGGGTAATCTTCAGGATTATTCACTGAACTCTGTGTTCATCTAAATGCAAGGGTTTAATGATTTCAGGGTTTTCTTTCCATTTTAAATAAATTTTTTACAATGCTGCTAAAATTTTTTTGATTTAACATCAGAAAAAAAGTATCATCCAAAATCCCTACTATATTTCATAAATTCTGCTTCTATTATGTTTCAGACCATTAAAATTAAATTTCTTTTTTCTTCTGTATAAAAACACATCATGTAAAGAACATCAAACCCACTGAAAGAGAACTCCAAAGGAACATCATAGTAGCTGGTAAAGGACAACTAATGCAGAAAGGCTTTTGATTAAATGATGTTGTATAATCTCCAGATTCCAATGTTATATCAATTAAATGAGCTGCGTGAGTTATGAAGATTTGGTAGAGTGAAATTTCGTATTCTTGTTAGCATATAAATAAAACACTGGGTAGTGTTATGTATGAAAGATTGGGAATCACTTCTGAGATTTCAGTAGAGCTAGAAAAAATGTAGTTTCTTGGGAATTTTACCACAGGCTGGCTCTGTTTCTGAAGTTGATCTTTATGTATTAGCTTCTACTAAAAGGAGTTGAAGCTCTTTACATTCAGAGATTACTAGCTGAGTCAGCATTAGCTGAAACCAGTTGGAAGTTTCCAGACCATAATGGTGCTCATAACATCGTTTTTCTTTATCATTCAAGAGCGGACTTTCTGCTCTGAATGTAGCTGCAGATGCTTTCTTCTTTTTTGTTTCTCCAGTCTTTCAGATCCTTCTGTCCTTTCCAAATGAATAATTTCATTGCTTTTCTGTATTGTTTTATGAAATTAGTGCAATTCTTAAGTTCCCAAGATGATTACAGTTTGCAATAGCTGAAGTGATACTGTAGTTTGACTTCACATTTAATTCAACTGAGCAAAACAAAGAAGAGCACAGGCATTATAGCTCGCTGACTGCATATGTGGAAAGATGTTGTACGTTGTTTATCTCATTTCTAAGTGCAAAAGTATTCAGACTTGTCAAAATATTCTGAAGGAGAGCTTGTGTTCCAATGAAGCCAGTAGTTTAGTTGCAGGCACTAGCCGTAAGTCATTTCTTTGGTCTACTTGAAGGTAGAGACTCCTCTTGTTCCCTAGCTCTTAAGATGAGAATTTAGACTCATTTGCAGTCAATGGGTCTCTACAGTGGTTAACCATGATTTGCATAGGATCCCGACAGTATAGGAAAAGAATATATATTTGAGGTTGTTAGCTGTGGAGAGTTATGTAGCCAAAATAATCTAGTTCAGGTTTAATGGGCAAAAGAAGGACTAGAAGTTAAGTGTACCATAAATCCTTCATATACTGCTTTGTTCCATCTGTCCTGTTGCAGCTTCTCTTCATGCTGTGACCTGAGCTTCTAAAGCTAATGACAGACAAAGCTAGTAAGTGTGAAATGGCAGACTGTCTAGGATAGCACATGCTCTACTGGTGGAATACTAAGAATGATATATAATAGGAAAAAAAAATCCTAAGGAATCAGTAAAAATGATTGAAGAAATAATGGACAACAACTAAACTAAGATCCTGGTTAAACTAAGATGCCATAGAAGAAAAAACATTGATTAATACTTATTTTGAATAATTAGTAAGTAACTATAGGAACGGTAAATTGGCATTCTGAAGACAGCTTACCAATGGGGCCCAACCAGTTTCTATGCTGACATATTCATAAATAAACTGTTGAGGTAACAAAGTCTACAAACAAAATTATTCAGAGTTTCTTATAGCAGAGAGTTGTAGAAAGATCTTGCAAACATGGAATAAGTAAAAAATGGCAAATTCCTAATTTGCAATGGAATTCTTAAATTTCTAAGCTACTCAAAGTAATGCATATTATGGAAGGAGGGAAAAGGAAACATAATGTATAGATACGCAACAATGGACTTCAAACTAGCATTTGTCTCATGAAAGATTTTATATTAATGAGGGTTTTTTTCCTGCAAACATCAGATTAATTCCTTGTTGCAATAAAGAAAACAAAACCAAAAAAACCCTCAGCTAGAATGTACTTACCCATTGTATAAATCTGTGTATCTACATCCCAAAAATTGTATGTGATGTTGATGACCCCATCTGAAAAGACACAGACTATTGCCAGAAAGATGGAGAAAAAGATGACAGAAAGGGGAGAGACTAACTACCACCTAGCTCAAAAAAGGTCTGATAGGAGACACCAGAGAGTTCTAAAACTTTAAGTAATTTTAAACAGGTAAATAGCAAATTAGATTGCTGTTTCTAACAAGATTAGAGTAGACAATTTTAATGTAGTAGCACATTTAAAATGAACACAAGAAGGATATAAAATACAAAGAATTTGTAGAAGTAATTTCTGCAAAAGTATGGATTGAGATTTAATTCTTGGGGTTCAGTCTGTCAGTAGCTAATAAGACAATGGTCTAAATGCAAGTTAGACCTCAAGAAGTCACTGAGGTTCCCCTGGAACCTGAAAGAAATTATGTTGGTAAGACCACTCTGTATTTGCCCTATTTTTAATACTATTCGTGAAGCACCTGTCGCTCCTGGAGACAGGAGACTAGATTTAGAAGCAACTTTTGTCTGTTTCCTGACTTTGTATAGTCAAAGTTCTTAAATATTTTATGTCCTAACTGCAAGTTGATTTTGACAGAAGCAAATACTTAAGCTTTTCTGCTTTCCCCCTCCCCTGGTCTAGTTTCTGTATCTTTTCATGTGAAGCAAAATTGTGATTGTTTACTGTAATTTAATATTACAGGTAATTTTGTCAATGGAGCAGCAAAATTAGAAGGTGGAGCATCGCCAAGAAAATCAAAACCAGTATGAGAATACCAGCTAGTATTAGAAGATAACATTTGACAGAAGACTGTGACTTAAAAATTGACACTGCAGAGCTGCTATTTGGATGTCTTACTATTTCAATGGACACTATCAGGTTATATTTTAAAAATATTTTTGTTAATAACCCTACATTTATGACAAGATCATCTTTGATCTACCTTAACCCAGCAGTCATCTTCAAATTTCACTTGGCTTTGACAATAAAAACAGATGAATCAGTTTGATCTTCTGATACTGTGATCAGAAGTTATTACACTTCTGTGATATTTGCATTACAGACACTTCAGAAGGCTGCCTAAATCTAAATTATCTGCCTATTCATCTGATTTTTACAAAATCAAAATTCTGTACCAAAAAGATCTTACCGTGTCTGTCTGTTCCCCCTTCTCTTCCCTCCCCAAGAATTTTTTTCTTTATTTATCTTACATGGAGTAAGAGATATATCTGAAGTAGCCTGGTAAAAAAGCAAAAATGTTCCATACCTGATTTCTCTTTAAAAATTACAGATTTAGAGAGAGCGCAAATTCTGATAGGACATAACTAATCTTCTTTGAGTGTAAAGGGGAGACTAATGTTTAGCAAAGACACAAATTGTGTGTCTTGGGAAAAAATGCTAGGCTGTCTGTTGGCTTTTGCAGTGGATTGTACTGTCTTCTGCGGGGCAGGGGTACGGGGAAGAAAAGTAGCCAATTAATCTGTAGTATAATCTTTACCCTTTTGAAATAAAAGACAAAACTTCCAAATATTTCTAAAGAGCCAGTATAGTATTTCATGCTTGCAATCACACATGCCAGACTTTTCCTCAACTGTTTTTTTCCTTTAATTTGTTACTGACATGTCTTAAACTTCTGAGTCTACTCAGATGATGTTCAAGGGAGGTGCTCAAACAATATTGCAATGAATGTTTCACCAAGCATAACCTTTTTTCTTTTGTTCTTAACCTGTAGATAATGATTTATTTTAGTCTGACTCAAGGGTTTTATGTCTATGAAGGTATTAATTTGCTCCTTATGTGAACACCTTATCTGGGTATTATTTTAATATGATTATATTATAAAAAGATTAATAGTATTTTTGTAAGTAACCTTCATAAATCTATGGCTGGTATGTCAATGTTGGATAAGTTTCATGAACTCACTTTCTTACTTGCTGTAATTTTTCTCTCTGTGCAAATAGATTGTAGGAATATTACATTAATTCACATAAGCCTATAAATTTGTACTGAAAACGTTTACCATGGGACTAGAATACATTTCCTAGTATTTTTAATAAGCTTGTATAATAATGAATGCCTTGTTCGATAAAAGTATCGTCTTTTGAGCAGTTTGTGTGAGATTTGCTTAACCTTCAAGTATTTCTAAGCATGCTGCTCACAAGACAATGTTTTCTTTGATGTATACTGCAACTGTAAGCACAGTCCCTGTCAATTTGTGCACACCTAAGTTACCAGGCTTTCAAAAGTGAATCCAGACAGTAGTTTAGGTGCCAGTATCCAATTGTAGGCACATAAAACTAGATGATTCTGAACTTTAAAGATTTTTTTTTTTCTTTCAGTATTATCAGGAAGTATGTTCCTTATACTGCCACTTGAATAAACTGATTACATGCTTCAGAATTTTTATTGCATGACACTCATGATGGCCATTTCAAAGAAGCTTGATTTTTTTCTTTAAATATAGTTTATTTTATTTAAATTATTATTTTTGAAATACAAATACAATGCAAGTATATGTATAGCTACTATTGTATTCCATGTACACATGTTTGATGTAAGAATCTCCTCCTTACAACACGTTAATGTTTTTTTAAAAATTGAAAATCACTGTCTATATGTTAAACACCTGGATACATACTTAGAGTAACACCAAGTACATTAAATTAATTCTAGGCTTGTTATTATGAAGATGTTTCAGAAAACTGTTTGCAACAAAAAGTCTGTTTTAATTTAAGACACTGTTCTTGCAAATTTCACAGTGTAATTACTTTACAGATATAAAGATAGTTCCATTGAATTTACAAATAAAGAAAATGAGCAGGTTGGTGTAACAACTAGTTCATTAACAAAAAAGCAAGTGTATATGCTTTTAGAAGTAAACTGAACTAAGACAGTGATTCTTATGATTTTTTGTATTTCATTGGCTTGCTAATAGAGAGTCTGTGAAAGCTGAAATGCAAAGTGGCTGTTAAAATCAGATGATGATGAAGATGATTTGTTTTTCTGTAAATGTAATATTTTTTTCTTTCTGGCTGAGTGTGAATGAGGAGTCAGAAAAGTAGAACTTGGGTGAAAGCAATGAATTTACAGGAGTACTTCCTTAGATGTATTTTAAGCAACTTCTTTTTTAAATTTACAAGACTGAGCTTCTCTCTGTAATTACTTTTTAAAATCCTTTTACACTGTTTAAATTAAAATCTGTTGGTTTGTTCCATGGTTAGAAAAAAAATTGCCACATTGAGAGATTCTTCCATGTGTTAAGCACAATGTTTTATAGGGAAGGTATGAGACATAGGTCATCAACTATGAATTCCCAAGTGCTTGACCATTTTTTTTGAATTGCAGCTTTCAGAAACGTTGCCAAAAATGTTTTTGAGATTACTTTTCTATAACCAAGTACTTAAGCCAATTCCAAATCCCTCATGTCATAGGAAGATAAGAGGTCAATCCAGACATCTTGTTATGAAGTCAATAAAACACAATGCGTAGTAGAATTTTCATACAGAAGCACTTAGCTGAATGAGACCTAATTAAAGCCAAATCTAAGCCAAGGGTAACAAGAGTACTGCAAAGTCATGTTTAGGTCACAGAGAATCTTCAAAAGTCTTAGAAACACAAGTCCTAAGTGCCATGAAACAGACAAGTCAGAAAGCCTAGGAAAAAGACTGTAGCATGTTACGGTTGTGTTTAGTGGGGTTTGTTTTGTAGATTTTGTTGTTGTTCTTCTTTAGTTGGGAATTTTTTTTTTTGGTTATATTTAAATATAGCTTTGTCAGTTTTTTGAGAACTAAGCTGACTGTATTTTTCTCTTTTTTTCAATATTATGAATGTCACTTAGAGTAACAATCAAATTATAAATCATAAATTATTTTGCTGAAACACTAGTTTGTTTTACATGTTGTTTTACACTTTTACATGAGGATTTGTTGATCATTTAACGTATAATCAATAATCCATAGCACAAGAGCCACGTTTTCAGTGTATGTAAGGTTCTGATTATTCATTTGATAAAATATTGCTAAACAAAACTTTCTCCATTTAAAAAAGAAAATTGTTCTCTAATGATATATTTCTGATGCATCTCATTTTACTCTATAATTTTGTTTAATTTCCTTTGTTGCCATTAAATAATCTGTTTTATTACTATGCTAAACCAGTTACTCTTGATAGTCTGGTCAGTTAAGCAGATCAGCCACACAAACTGGATTGCTAGTCTAGGAAGAAGGTATGTATGTACTTTGGATTTATTAAAAAAACTAAACAAAATCACTCCAGTTCTTCAACACTTTTACCCATTTCATATCAGTGTTGGCTTTCTTTGCTTCTTATTCAATGCCAGAACAACTTTTCTCTTCAATCCCTGTGATGTCTATATGGTAATTTCAGGGTCTTTTGTACACCAGATATTCTCCTCAACTCCAGTCAAGCAGTCTGCAATCAGTCTGCTGCAAACTATTAGTTAGTGTACAGAAAAAGTATCAGAATAATACAGAAGTTAAAGCCAGTTAAAATTTTCAAGTCATCAAAAAGTGCCAGTTCAGCCCCAGAAAACCTGGTGGTAATGTGACAAATCTTAGTTCTGCTTAACCTAGTTAGATAGGGAACCCCAAAATAAAGTTTCTTTATGAATATTAAAAAAAAAAATCCAATACCAAAGCTTTTTGGGGATGATTTTAGGTTTGGTGGAGCAGAGAGAGTTGTTTTATTTTGTGTTCTTTGTTTCTAATTTGGGAAGTAAAGAAAGGATGGAAAGCTACTTCTGTCCCAGAGTATTGTTGGAAAATGTCATAGCCTAGAACTGATTTTTTTTTTTTTTTAATGGGGATGTTGTTACTATTTCCTCGCAAAACATTTCAAAAAATAAATTAAAAAAAATCCTATCAATAGATGGAAAGAAATCTAAGCTCGTGTAAAACTTCTTATAAGGAGTGCTTGTTGATCATAGTGGCTTTTTTCTGTCTGAGTAGAGAACAATTAAATATGCTGAAGAAACGGGATGCTTCTCTTGCACTAATTGTCCAAACAGAAATTGAGCTTGGAAAATCCAGGGGACAGATATGTGGAGAGACATCCATGTTGAAGAGAAAACTTTTTTTTGGAGAAGAATAGATGATGAAAAATGATGACTGACTGGGTTATTGTCACAGTAAAAATGAATTGTAGTGTCCATAAAGTCAGCTATGGGTCGTGCTTCCCTAAGTCTGTGCTACCATTGCCCTTTTTTTGACTGAGAAATTGTTGGGATCAGATTGGATTTAATTAGCATGTTGCATAAATTCAGCTTAAAGCCAAGTATGTCTCTTGCGTAAGTCTTTGGCCAAATTTATAACACATTTAGGCTTCTAGAGACTCCTTTAAAAGGAATACACACCAGCAGGTGGAGCAAATAGATAAAAGTGTTAAATGTTACAGTTCTACAGCTACATTTACTTTGATCAGCTTTTAAGACAAGTACAAAAATGTAGGAAGGTCATATTAATTTTTGTAGAGCAACACATGTCAATGAAAAATGAAAGCACTTTGTCACTGTATCCTTCATTATATAAATCAGAGCTAACTTTGAGGTTATCTGTTTATAATTGCTGTAACAAAAATCAATGGTTAAAAGGGGAAAAAAAGATACAAAATTATCTATACTGTATTGACATTTGAAGTTCTGGATCAGTCTTGAGCCTAAGGTGTCATAGTTGCGATGTAAATATAATTTGAAAACCTTACGGTCTAAATGGAAGAAATATGAATAACATGCAGTCTGCTCCTCTCCCCCCCC